TTCTGGAATAAAAGGGAATCATGACATGGCACTCATGTCATGTGTCCTTAAGGGGTTAAATTTCAGCTCCAAGTTTGAACATTTCAAAAAGTTACCCCATCGGCCTTACTGTAGATAAATTGCAGTTCGTAACAAAATGAGTCTCCAAGTCTAACACATTCAGATTCGTCAGTCAATGTATATTTGGAATTTATTAATTGAAAGTGGATATAGATTTCATTTTATTTTTATAGTATTTCTCATTTTGTTTTTTATTTTAGTTTTCAAGGTCGTGACATAACCATCATAACCCAAAAACAACAAAAATAATAGGAGAGTAGCACACAAGAAGACAAGAATACCACCTTTATTTCCATTTTCCTCACAGTTATGTGATTCTGCCAAGTTCTATGTATAATGTTTACTGATTCCAAGCAAAATAGAAAATATGAATGCAACCAGCTATTAATTCTTGCACAAACTTACCATCATAAATGGAATATATTGTTAAGTGAATGTGCAATCAAGCATACCATTTTCTATTTACTTCACTAAATCAGGCACATTGCTATTTCAACATAAATGAAACAAAGTAGAGTTTCATTAGTGACACTTGCATTATAACCAGCAGTAATTCTGAGAATAGTTCTTTATAGACATTGGATATGATTGATATAATATATCTATATGCCTCAGATTTTTTGTTTCTTATAACAATATAAAATACAATTTAACAATTTGATAAATCATGACATGATCTTACTTGGGTTTGTTTATAGTAAATAAATATATTATAAAAATGGATGCATTGTCTTTTTTTATTTTCTATCCCCTTAAGGACGGCAGGAGTACTATGCCGTCGTTGGGGACCTGGCTTTAAACGCCGGGTCCCCAAGGACAGTATGCCGGCGATCGCGATGACATCACGATCACATGGACGGAATAACCGGAATAGCCATCCATAGCAATGCCAGCAGGGGGGAGTGCCTGGAATGACAGGTAGTCCCTCTGCTGCCTGAAATAAAGTTAAATAAAGTTTAAACACAGTTCAAATTAAATATATATATATATATATATATATATATATATATATACACACACACACAAAATACAGAATCCAGCACACTCACTTATTTACTAAACAATGATTTCAAATCTTAGAGATTGTACTAGTTTTATTTAAAAACACCTCACCTAGGCAAAAAATTATGGGGGCTTAGTTACATTATATGATCATACATTGCATAAGCCTGCCAACTACGTCAAAGTACTCCATATTCGGCAGGTCCTATCCTAGTAGCAGCCTAATGCATGCTCTTATGCGATTAATCCACTTACTTGGGAAATACTTCCTTACTGGGACTCTATGCAAGTCAAGGCTAAATACGGTCCTAGAATGAGGCACCTGTAACAGGGAGGGGTGCAAAACCAAGGAGTTGGCCTTGGACTCCCAAATACATAAAAGAAACCAAGAGGGCTGTACTCACCTGAACATGCATACATTATAGCGTGCTGCTGGGGCAAAAAATATACAAAATCCAGAATCCAGCGCACTCGCTTATTCACTAAACAATGATTTAAAATCTATATATACACATACACTTACACATACACTGTCTAAGTATATTTTAATATTAATATATATATATATATATATATATATATATAAATATCAAAATAAACATAGAATGATAATTATATATATATATATATATATAAAAAAATTATTAAAAATAAATAATTAAAAGTTATTGATGTCTGTAATTTCGTTTTACTGTATTTTGAGATATATATATATATTAATTCTATGTATATATTTATTCTATGTATATATTTAATATTTTTACATAATTATGTCAATTTATTCATTACAATTTGCGGGACCTGTCTGACAACCCAGGACGAAAGTCCAGATAATTTAATTTGCTAGCACTATATTTAACCCTGTAACTTTCCAAGACACCATAAAACCTGTACATGGGGGGTACTATTTTACTCGGGAGACTTCACTGAACATAAACATTAGTGTTTCAAAAGAGTAAAATGTATTACAAAGATGATATTGTCGGTGAAAGTGAAGTTTTGTGCATTTTTCACATACAAACGGCACTTACACTGATGATATAATTGTTGTGATACGTTTTATGGTTTTGAAACACTAATATTTGTGTTTACCGAAGTCTCTCGAGTATAATAGTACCCCTCATGTACAGGTTTTATGGTGTTTTTAAAAGTTACAGAGTCAAATATAAGGCTTGAATTTCAATTTTTTCACATCAAGCAAATTATGTTGCCTTTGAGACCGTATGGTAGTACAGGAATGAGAACTACCCCCACGATGGCATACCATTTGCAAAAGTAGACAACCCAAGGCATTTCAAATGGGGTATAACCAGATTTTTTTAGTAGTCACTTAGTCACAAACTCTGGCCAAAATTGGTGTTCAAATAAGCTTTTTGTATTTTTCACACACAAACAAATATGAACGCTAACTTTGGCCAGTGTTTGTGACTAAGTGGCTACTAAAAAAGACTGAACATACCCCATTTGCAATACCCTGGGTTGTCTGCTATTGCAAATGGTATGTCATCATAAGGGTTATTCTTATTCCTGGGCTACCATACAGTCTCAAATGCAATGTAACCAATCTGGAGAATTTCAAAGTGAAAAAAACTTAAATATGTAACATGCTATATTTGACCCTATAACTTTCCAGAACACCATAAAACCTGTACATAGGGGGTACTGCTTTACATATGAGGCATATTGAATACAAATATGTGTACTTTATTGCAGTAAATGCAAATCGGATTATGACATTCACAGTTAAAGTGTCATGCAGAACTAAAAAAAAAAAAAACATTTCGTAATTTCTCCTATTTGTTTTATATTTTATTCATATTAAATTATGTTTTATATATAAATATTTAATGTTAAATGAAAGCCCTATTTCTCCTGAATAAAATGATATATAATAAGTGTGGGTGCACTTAATATAAAAGAGGTGAATTATGGTTGAACAGACATATAGTAAAATTCCAAGTTTTGTTTACATTTTATTTTGATCAAAATGTGTGCATTTGGCTCAGTCCTTACAGAACAAAAAAAATGCATTTAAAAGAACACAATAGGCACCTCATTGAAGTGGTGTGGGTGTTGCGTCCCTGTCCCCTTTAGTCCTGCAATGTTTTTGAGAAACTGCAGTGATTACATTGTTTTGGAGAAATTGCAATGATTACATTGACTAAGACTGCTTATAGTGGCTGTCAGTTAAATTTCAAATAGAAACACTTCCTGGTGGTTAAATTACTTTTGGTCACCTAACTGATTTTGGACGTTTGAGGTCATCCAGCATCAGTGAAATCTAATCGCCAGGACCTAATGCTCTCTGCATATGTGCATTAGCCCCCCACCCATTGGATGATGGCAGAGGAGGCAGCGAGCCATATCAGTGCCAAGGGACATCGGCGCTGGAATCAAATAAGTGTTAAAAAGGTTTTTTTAACCCTTTAAATGCTTGAGGGAGCCCAGGAGGGGGAGTTTAGAGGGAATTGTAGTTTAAATAATGCACATTTTTAAAGACAGATAATAAATAGATGTCTACAGTAGAATGCTGAAGAATATGACATTGACTGGTATCAGAATCAAAGAAGTCAAACAAATCAATTAATGAAAACCCCAAAACACTTGTACGACATGGATTTTTACAATTAGATAGTTGCTCAGTGTGAAAAGGGCTCACATTGCAATAGTAGCACTATTTGTGAAGGACCTGGTTTGGTCTGATTGGTTAGACTAACGTTGTTGTGATTATTGCTTTTGTAGGGTTTATTCAAATGAATCAAAAGTGATTTACTATAGCTATTTAAGAGTTAATACACAGAAGGAACATTTGGTTGGGATATAGAGAGGCAGGTGTGAAGATTAGAGGAAAATAAAATGGGTAAGAAGGTAAAAAAAAAAGATAAAAATTGGTTGAGCTTGGGGGGAGGGGTTAATAATGCTGGTATGAAAAGCATCAACTGTTACATAATCATCTAGTCTTACTTTGTCCAATATGATACATCTGGTATATAAAAACAATATGTATACAATCTAAAAATATGTCTTATATGAACTGGACTGATACTTGCTAGCCAGGTGTCAGATGAATAGTTAAGAAAAAATAAATAAATAAATAAGTCTATGGGGTAAATAAAACCACCTATTATGGGGGGTGGAGCCGAACTGGCAATCTGAATGGTCGCACACTGCATGAGCTCCTGTAGTGCAGGGCCAAAATTGATGATTACCAAGAGATTACCTGCTGGAAACTTCCCACAAATAGGCTACTTGAACAGAGGAAGCACCCACAGACCTGCTGATACTAATCATGACACCCAACTCAACTGGGTACTGCAGAAGCTACATGAGGCCTAGCGGAGGCACGGGGGTAGGACGGCCGCCTTCCTGCCCAACGCTTACCACACCAAACAAGTGACAGGCACTCACCCCCCCTCCTGAGGACCGATGGGGGTTATCACGGTCCCCACCGGACGGGGTACCCCGAGCACCGCAACAAGCGACAGGCACAACGGACTCCCTACATGAAGCGGAGCAAGGGGCCACCAAGATGGCGGGTCACTCTGACACGATAATGTGGACAAGCGACGGCAACAGCATGCTAAAACAGAAACAGTAGACCACACAAAAGACTCTATCGCATTAATTTTTGACCGCTTCTGGGCAAAGTTAGCGGCACGCTCACAGCCTGACACACCAAACCGAAACCCACCCGCAAAGGTCAGAGCTGTCGGCAGAGGGAGGACAGGGGATACTCACCAGGGCAACTCGATGGCCCCTATTCTAAACCCCCACATCAAGGACCCTCCAGGACCGGGAACAACAATGGGCATGACCCAGAGGTGCCGGCCACACTGGCAGAGAGTGGTAAGGCAAATACGTAAGCGACCAGCTAAACACCTCCGAACCACCCCACAAGGGGCGACCCTGGGCCACACAGGCTCCCAGGCTTGTGGCCTATGAGCACCAGCTCCCACATGATTCTGGGGCCAGGGAGGACCCCCACCCCCAGAACGGCAGGGCTCTACCCAGCAGAGACAGACTCCAGGCGCAAGACCCGAGCCCAGACTGCACTAGACACTCAGCGGTTACCAGACCCGCAGCAGCAGCACAGCACTCTGGGTGCATACCGGAGGAGGGCATCCTACCGAACACCGCATCTGCACGGACAACCATCCACACGGACCAAGCACACAGAGGAGCCCCAGTCAAACGACGCCCCACCTAATCATGCTGGACCCGACCGAAGAAAGGTACCTGACACAGGCCAGCAAGAGGGAGACAGGGGACACCAGTGCGGGACTCACATGGCAAAACTCAGTCTGGCCCCAACGAGGAATCGGCTGTCTTTACAGATAAGCGGAGGACTCTCCCATCCCTGGCAAGCAGCTCTAAATGCACCCGTAATAGACTTAAAACGTTTTTTACAAGCGCCTATTTTTAATTTTCCTTTATTACTCTAGTTGCTATGACTAATACAGTAAGGGAACAGAATTGCAAATGGCCAGGGCCAGTGTATTAACTTTGCCTCCTTTATGCACGCCTAGTATGTGACACGATCGTCTCACAGCATAGAGTTAGGCATCTATGCACATTAGCATTACCCCATCATTTTCAATAACATTATGGTTTTATTTATTTTTCCTTAAAATAACTGGTTGCCGACCTAAGCCTACAATTACAGTATGAAATCAGAGGCGCACCAGGGGTTAAACCCGCTGCCAGCATATCCCTACCATTTGTAATCCTCTCTTGCACAAAAGCTAGACTAAGCATGTACAACACAGACAGAATGTTACTCTATGATACCCAATGTAACGGACCGTTTGGCACACAAGGGGTAAAAACCGTTTAGGCGATCGTCCCCTTTCAGAGATGCAGGCACAGCTACTGTAGAACACCAAACTCCCGAACCGCAAATAAGGGAATGCTCCAATTTCCCGAACTGCATACAATATAGCACTCCAAACTCACGAACTGGAACCATATGAATAGCTGCTAGCAGACGAATAGGAAAAGCATCCAAGCGGCTTACACTCCTAGCAATCAGTCTCTATCAGCATTAAGTAAATCCCCCCAAAGACGAGACAAGGCTCCGTGTTGAGGGTCAAGCAGTGGTCTGTTTAATGAGGGCTATCTGCCCAGTATTTATGCAGGTCTCCCACCTGGTGGACACTCCCCTAGGGGACCAAATGGGAGACTGTGACAAAAGACAGACAATCAGCAAAATAGGACACACAGTCACATTATATTCCCACAATGCATCTTGGCTTCCTCCCCTCTGCCCTGGAGATAATTGAGAAGTAATTCAATTATCTCCCAGGACAAAGGCAAATCACCATTATGCACTTGGGGATACTAACACAAGAATTACTATTAATATATACCATGCAAGACACATAACATTAAAACCATACATTTAACCTATCCCCAGATAGCTCAGGTCTGAGCGCACATTACTAGGCGAATGGCGCTCAGACCACACGAATACAGTTTAATCACCATGGAGCCAAAGTCTTTACAAAGTCAGTTCTCATACGAATGGGCTCCATGAGATTCCTATCTGGGGTATAACGTAGTCAGGTAAAACTCCCGAACACCGGGCCATTCGTGCACTCCCGCCGAACAAGAAGGGAGGTCGGCGGCTTCAGCGGTGTTCGCGCCAAACTGTGTCCGTTTTTAGTTCCATGAGTTAGGCGTCGAATACCACTGTGCGTTCGCATGTTTAAAATGGCCGCGACCTCGTGTTCGGTATACGAATGGCGGCCACCCAGTAATTGTCAATTAAGCTGCGGTTAACCGCAGCTTCTGGGAGGCTAATTGCCGGCACACTCCAGCTCCCAGGTGGTCCAGTCATTCGTGCGGTTGTTCGGTAGAGTAAATCTACCGAACACCGGGCAGAAAAGCACAAATAAGTCTCTTCTGCAGGGGAAATAAAGTCTTTTAACATGGGGGCCATAATCCAAAGGCAGCAGGCGAGCAACCAGGCTTCTCCAATGCAATGTGGCGAGATTGCTCTCGTCAGACCCAAAAATTAGCAGTCTAGCTATACCAACGATGTTACCTTTTAGTTATTAGACAGAATTAGCTGTTAGACCTTCTACTGTTTACTACTTAAACAAGTGAGTTAATTAGCAAACTCTTTATTATAGTTCAGACATATCTTATCATTATGCTTTTCAAAACAAAATATGTGCAAATTTTCTATGCCACTGTTTCACCTATCTATGTTCAAATATAAATGCACGTTGTTGCGGTGTATGACTATGCTATGTACCCACCTGCACAACAAAAATAAAGAATTGTAAAAACAACAACCCTGTTATACTATACAGGAGGTTTAAAACCATGTGGCAGATGGGGCATACTTACTAAATATCTAAAACTAGAAGTCTCTCTCCTTTGTTTGCTAATCAACCAATCAGAAGGCTCCTACTCATATGGCATAGCATGGAAAATGTTCCCACACAATTTAATAGCTGACATTATGGAAAAGCCTTTATAAAAGCTCAGTCTGTGGTAAACCCTTGCAGAGCAGACATGGATTAATTTGACGTTTTATTATAATAATTAGGGGCCCCTATCCACTTCCAATCTGTGCTATTTACCCCTCACATTGCCAAGGGTTTTTAAGAATTTGCCTGTAGTATTATCATTTACTTGCAAAAAGCAAGTGACTGCTAATTTGTGAATGTGCAACCTGCCAGATGTCTTTGATTCTGTAAACCAATGATTGTGAATATTACAAATCCTATATTTTGTATATAGGATTCAGATGCAAAAGCACCGATTTTAATCTGGACACCAAATGGACATTTGCTACACATTCTCTAGGGCTGATCAAATTCCGACAAAGCTTATAAATATGAGAGTTGTCATTGGGGTCAGAATTCAGTCATTTTCATCATGTTTTGTCCATTTAGTGAATAGCACTGGAATTTTTTCACACAATGATTCCCCCTCCCCCAGCCTTTGCAAGTTTTAGAACTGTTTTATTTTTAACCTTTGATCTGCCATGAACTGCACCCCCAGCACTTCAAAGCAGGAGCTTCCACAAACTTTCCTGAGTAAATGCCACTTCCAATCAGTACAGTACAAGGTTAGCTTATTTACTGGGAGCATCAACTGATACTCTCAGCCATTGAGCTAATAATCCCTTGCACCTCAGGGCTTAACTCAGACAGAGAGCTTCCCCCTCCCTGTCCTCATTAGTGCAAGCAGTCAGTGGTGCCAGACAGACCCATGTAAGAAGGCAAACCAAAAAAGAAAAAAGTTTAATACTTAATCTTCCGTATTTAAAGGGACACTATAGGCACTACAATAATTTAATCTCATTGAATTGGTTATAGCTTCCCTAGTTCAGTGATATTGTCCCTCCATTCATGTTAAACTGCCTTTGAGAATTTTTTGCACTGAAAGAAGGCTCCGCACAGCCCACTGACCATCTCCCACTAAAGGTATGGTTATGGTAGCGATTACACACTTTCTTAGCCATACCAATTCATACCAGCAATTGGTGGCTGTGATAGGCTGAAATCTGTCAGCTGACACAGACAATCACTACTACATATTGGTGCTGAGGTTAATGCTTCCTCATTAGGCTGAACAGCACTGTGGCTGCTCATTAAACATTAAAGTATTAACAGTCTAAACACGGAATGGAATGAGGGCGCAGAGGTCTCCAGATACTATAACCACTTCAATGTGCTGATGCAGTTAAAATGTCCTTTAATAAATCAGATTTTCTTGCTGCTTGTCGCCAATGATTTAACTTTAATCGATAAATGCAGAGGTATTCTTAATATATGGGATGGGTTGGGCTACCAAATGTTAAAGAAATGCATACAAATAGTTGGATAGATCGAAACTAGGGAATCAATCATTCACTATCTTTTGGTATTCTTATGAAGTTGAGAAAGGTAATAAAATATGAGAAATTAAGTAACTTGCTTAAAGTTCAATTTTTCCTTCAGATATGTTTGGACCGGCTTTTATTTTTTAAAATTAAAAAATTATAATAAAATATAAATAATATATAATCATAACAAAAATATTCAAATATTTAAATATTTTCCAAGATATTAAATCATTTTAAATTGTATTTGAAAATCTTGAATTACTTATTAGTTTTAACTTTTTACATTTTAGAAGTAAAGCTTAAAATTGTAAGTTCTAACAATTTAATAATCAATTATATTATGCCTCTCTCTCTTTCTACATATTATATTTGCATCTTAAATGACACATCAGTGAAAATGCAGACATTGGCTTGCAATTTTCAGTTCGTACATTTTGTCTATGTTAGAATATATTCCAGAAAAAACAGCCAGACTTTAATTTGGATTGACAGGATAAGTATTATTTCTTTGGTGTTTGTCTACAAATTAACAAAAACACAATCAAGGAAAAGTGAAAGACAGATGTAATGGACAAACAAATCAAGACTATTCTTCAGATGCCAATCTCATTATAATGTGAAAAGAAAATTGCTATCATTATGATAAAAGAAATCACATGATAGGTACCCACAGATTAATTACCGGAGCTGTCTGAAGAATTTCAATAATGTCTTTCTAATTGACTTAAAGGGTTCTTGTCTTGTATAACATACTAGAATGCTTTATTAAATTCATTGATCCATGATAGGAAATGCATACATTTGAACCAATTTAGAAATAATGTTTTGCTTTTTAATCACCATATCAGCTGTAATGCTAATTGCAAGATCTGTCCTACTATTTTTGCAATCTTTAGTAGTGGCTTTCTTACAAGATTTATATTATGAAATCCTGAACACAAAAAGGGAATAAACCCTGGAATTTTATATGCTGTGCATCCGTAGTTAAGCATTTTGTAGGGTAACTTTTAATTCCATATGAGACCACTCATCCTATTCTTATCTCCTCTCCTTACTTTATTTTCAAATTCTCAGTTTCTTTTTTCAAGTTATATCTTTTTTATGTTGTTATGATACTTTAATGATCATAATTCATTTTTGAGTTCACTCTGTTTATTTCTTTATTATACAATTTTATCATTTTAATGTACGTGGTGACAAACTTGCCTTTTTAAGGGAGTTTGCCATGAGTTTTTGGAGGGGCCTGCTTGCCTGCCTCCTACCCTGGGACTTTGGGCCCTGTGATAACCCATGTTCAAAAGTACTGTTTTTGCCCCTTGGACTTTTAACTGGAACAGATTCAAACATGTGGCGGCAGCAATCTTAAATTGTCCAGCAGTGTTTTGTCATTGAGTG